GTTAGATCCAACCTTTTCTCCTGTGAGTTTATCCCCATCACAAGCAGGTGCCATTACAATGTGCTCCAGTTTCCAATTATAACTGTTGTGTAAGATGCAATGCATGTCATTTGGAATAGATGCAGTGCTACCACGAAATTTTCATCAGACATTGCTTTGATTGTTGCACCTGCTTGCTCTTGGTTCTGTTTCTTAGCCTTACATGTGTGTATTTACCTGTTTTATGCTTTTCTCGGATGAAAATGCATCTTGATATGTTCTTTTATGGTTGCAGGAGCTGGCGACGAGTGAAGTACTGAAACAGTTGAAATTTGTCGAAAAGGTTTGTTAAATGACCGTGGATGTTAGCCTCTCTTCAATTTATCTTAGCTAGGCCATACATCTTGCACTTACGATAGAAAACACATGCACCCAGGAAAAATACTTCACAATCACACACACATAAAAAGAAAAGGAGAGAATAGAATCGATGACTATGACCTTGCACTTGCAAATGAGAAAAATAAGAAAAAATGATGAGAAAAATAAATAACATCTAGCTTAGATTGAACTTGGATGTCGAAGCAATTTGGTTGATAGTTAGAGATTTCAGCAACTCTTTCTCTCTTATAAAATTCATTTCTATACAGGTTAATGCCCGTCTCGCTGCTGGAAAGTTGCAGAAGGTCAATGAAAAATGGCCTCGGTCATCCTAGTATCCATCCCATGAACGCAGAAGGTTAAAATAGGTTCATGCACATTTAGACCATATCGCACTTCCATATTAAGAATCACAGGAGTTTCTGTCTATACCCATTTCAGAAGGTTTTATTGATCCCATCATTGGAACGTTTTTGTCTCTCCTTTCGTATTCTTTTGCGAGCAAAGCCACGCCCTACCTGGGTTGGGTTTGCTCAAGCGTCGACCCAGTTCCAAGCTTACAGAGTCGCCATTCGTGTATGTAGTTTTGTAATCAACTTAAAAATGGATAGAAATTGGAAACACGGTTTTATGTCATTATGTGGAAAATATGAGCCAGAAACATATGAAAATGTATTTGATCCCACTTTGACTAGCGATCTATTTTGTGGTACAATTTTTTTTTTAAATTTGAGAAGTATATCTTTCCCCTTAGTGATATTTTCAGTGTTCTGTACTGTTAGCATTGAACTAGACCAAAAGAGAAAAGAAAAGAAAGAACCAAACAACCCACCCACACATAGAAACAGATTTCATACCGGGCTTATTTTTTTGGGTAAAGAAAAAACAGTAAATAGACCTGAGATGTTTCTGCCTTCAATGTCAATTTCTATAACCATTCCATCAAAGTCAACCCACTTGCAGGTAACGTGACAACTGATACCACATGCATCCTGAATCCTGGAGTTAACATACATGATTCTGAGCAGATTAAGAAATTATGAATGAATCGCTTACTAGCTTAAGGAAGGGCCAAGGCTTGCACCCGAAAACAGGCCGAAGTTTTGAACAACTCTGGATTTGAAAAACCAATGCTGAGCAACTAAAGACCCATTTATAAAGTAGCTGGGGAAAATACAGGCTGCGCCATCTAACAAGCTATAAGCTCGCATAAGTAGTATTCGCAACATTTGACAGCAGCAAATCTTTGGCGACCGAATATTATAATAATTACAATCAAGCATTCTGATGCTGGAAATCAATTATGGCAGATGACATTGCAACAGTCAGAAACTGAATCAACAACCAGATTGCAAAAAACTTATTTCTGAAGTCAACACACACCAGGAAGCAAAAATCAAGCTGAGCCTCGTAAGAAGTTCAGGTGATCTAGAATAAGCAGATCAATCCACAATTGAACGACAAAAGCATTAAGTACGAAACTATTTCCAGAATTAAATATGTATTTTAGTAGCACACAGGCCACTAATGAAAAGAAGTTCAACACGATAGACCAGATGACTCATTTATTTCAGCTGTCCATAGAGAAATAACATTGTTTTGGTGATGATTTCAGCCAGCAACAACGGAATAATACCTGCAATGAAAATATAACGTGGTCAGGAAATTAATCAAGTTGCAGTTTCTTTAGTCAAGTTTCACTTGCAAAGTTGCAAATAAAGTGAACGGCCAAAGGCTTTACCCGACAAGGTTTAGAAAGATGAAAAGGATAATGAAGAAAATAAGGGAATATTAACAAACAAATAAATAAATAAATAAAAAGGCAATGAGTACCTATACCTACTAAATATCAGTGTTCTAAGTGCAACAAGTTCCTGTGTCCAAATAAAGATGAGCAAGAGAAAGCAATATCAGGAAGATTATCAATGTTTATGACCAAAAGCATTTTGGTGCAATTATTACACGTGTTTTTTTATGGGTTGCCATTTAACTTGGCTCAAAGTAGACATTCTCGTGCAGGCTGCCATTTACTTGACTCAAAGCCAACATATTTGAAGGTTTTTCAATATGGTGTAAACAATTACTATTGGTGGAGACATACCTCCCAGATATAATTTGGGAAGTATATTATTCCTAGATGAGAGGAAAAATGTGGAGTTACGATTATATCCTGTCAAGAATGCATGAAAAAGGAAAGGAGATTATGGTGGACCTGATGTTATCTAATTTGCATACCCCCAATGAATTCAAGATGCTGATTGCATGAACCAATACATGGTGCGCTCCGGAACACTAAAAGCAGCATCCTGAATGGCTGAATCACAGTGGAAGGAAACATATAGAAAACAAAAACACGAGTTTTGTTTAAAGCATTCTTGTTTTGGAACTATATCATTGTTAATTTGTTATTTATAGGACAATCCTTGCCTTTGAAGTACGAAATATTGTTATGGATTATTTGCTCTAATTAGAAATGACATATAAATGGCATCAGCAAACCTATATATTTTAACCCGTCAAATTGTTTTTTAATTCTTGCATCTTTTTTATCAGCAATCATGTTCTCCTTCATAACCCAAGAGTAATCCAACAATAACCGATTCTTATTCAAATGAGTTTGTCTATAAATAAGAAAAATAATATGTATTGTTTGCACAGAAACGTATATATGATATATGTATAATTATCAAAGAAACCCAGCATACTATGACTGAAAACCTATGTTGTACAGATACGGGTGCGGACACAGATGCGAACACAAGACATGACAAATTTGTAAAGGATATATATATAGTTTTTTCATTCACGTTTTGAGAACTAAAATCCCTATAACATTTTATGTTTCTTCTATCGAACAGCTTATAAATTGAAACACCGCTCGGTTTTGAACTAGATACCCAACTGATACCTTAATCCTTAATCATACTATGAACTGGAAACATATATTATATAATTGAGTACGCATCTGAGTAAATGGATGAATATACTCAAGTAAATGGATGGATATATACAAAAAGTGTCCAAGGATTGTCGGACACAGACATAGATATGGAAGTGTCGGACACGGATACAGTAGCCCAGATGAAGTGTTCGGGTAACTTAGCTGGAAATAGGAAAGTCACTCACCCTAACGTCTCATATCGTGTATCATTCAAAGTAGCATACCGTGTAATAGAAAAGCATCTCACCATGACTCATCTCGCATCAGGTGACATTAGGTAGGTTAATATACAAAAAGCACATTCACATATAAAAAGACAATGATGTAGAGCGGCCCTATTTCCACAACAATTGAAAGCACGAAGGGTAGGCCATTCATGAAGTTAGAACTCAAACTATAATGGATTTCATCAAGTCACTAGGTGCAAATTTGTGGATGACAGGTGGAAGTACAACATACACAATTTTCTGAATGGCTAGCATGATTCGTACACTCAATTTGGCCCCAGAATCATATTTCATGAAGAATATGGAAGCAAATGAGGTGGTATACAAATCCAATGAAAGCAACTGAATTATAGATATTTTAGGGACATGATAGTTTAAGAAACTTCACTATGCACTTAATAAGCTTATGATATTCAATCAGCATCCAAGTCGATGTCATAGTGAAAGAAAGGATTTGCTTTAATTGTTGTGATACAAGGAATAATTAAGAGTGTTGAAAGGAGTGTTGTGAGCATGTTCTTAGAAAGGACTGTGATGTCTATAAAGATGATCATGCGGTTACAACAGACTTGATTAAAGATAAGATCATGGATGATAGTTGGTGAGATAAGATAGATGACATTCTCATCCTTAAAGTCTATTTTGTGATGCTAAGAGGTGTCAGTATTGTCCAACATTGCCTACATTTAATTTATGATGTATGAGATACCATAATAGAGAAAGCAAAAGTTGTTATCTAACAAGGAGCAACACCACCACCCGCAGGTGGGACTCATGGTCAGCAGCTCTCCATGGGGGAGTGTATCTCTCCAGGCTATTGCCCGTTGTTGGTCAGGAGTTCGAATCCTCGTAGCCGCTTTCACCTGGTTTCCCTTGGTTTAAGGGTGGGGACGGAAACCCGGGGTTTTATTGGTCACCAAATCCAGCTCAGCCCGTTGTATGCTCACCAGTTCGCGTCCCAGTGGTCCCCACGCTGCTCGCCCACGCTCTGCCCGTGGGGATGAGCCCCTGGTATTAAGGGTAGCTCCTTGTAGATGTGAAGGGAACAAGGGGAATCGAACCAGGGCCGCTGGCGGGGCTCCGAAGGAGTTAAACTAAGCTGGGGTGACCAAGTTTCCCTTGTCATCAAAAAAAAAAAGGAGGAACAACACTATGAGGACTCACCTTTCTACAATGTAATGTACCAAATTCTTGTGGATCAATGGACTAAAAGCAATACATCAGTCCATCATTGGCAGTCCTTGCATCCAAGGTAATGCCAAGTATACAAACTCCTTCGGCAATTTTCATGTATTGCAAATTTTATCTTAAGTTCATGGTTTTTATGATAAGGGTATCATAATGCGACCCGGCAGCATGAGGATATGACCTCTACATAAGATAATGGTTTGGTTAAAAGAGATGGGTTGGAAAAGATTCAAGTGCATGCAAGATCAAGTATGGAACTTTAATCCCAAGACACTACTAGAAAGCGGTTCAAAGCAAAGGTTCAGGCTCGTGAAGGACAAGGCATACCTTCAAGCCTGTACAATAACCATGAGTTAGGTGTAGCACCCGCTGGCTTTTTAAGCTAAAGAGATGCTTTCTGAGGATTGTTTATGGTCAAAAGAAAATGTGTTTTTAATGATAAAAAAAGCTGCAAATAATACAAACAGATTCATGAGAGAAACAGTTTGCTTTATTAAAAAAGACCAGGCAACGAAAGGAAAAAAGAAAGCGATTTTATCTAAGACTATAAAGTACTACTTAATATCCAAGCAAACCACTAAAATTGTATATTTTAAATACATTTCTATGTTTTTTAAAAAAAAATTTATACATAATCAACAGCTAAACAGTCATGCAGCAAAAGGAAACAACAATAAATCTCATTTAGGTCTTGTATCATCATTAAGCATGATTACTTTTAGTTTCTGACTGATAGCCAACAAGTCGAAACTAAAAACTAAGGAATACAATCAATTTTGAAATTTTTTTCCTAATTCAACAAAATAATTCGTTCGCCCTATAAATTCGCACTCAACCTCCCACCAAAACCCCTATATTTCATAATCAGTTGAGGCAATCTCTAATCCATGTACCCGATCAACAACTAAAGATCCCATATTTCAACCAACACATAACGCAGATCCAAATTAGGTTTTTTTTTTTGTTTTTTTGAATCGCAGGAGAAAACGATCACCTGAAATGCATGCATCGAAGGAGATCAGTGGTGGCCTCCTCCAGAGGCGGCGTGCTGCTGGTGCTCGAGGTGGCGGCGCTCCTCCGGGAGGGCGACGAGGTAGGAGAAGATCATCCCTCCGATGCAGACGTGGAACAGGGGCTCGACGGAGCTCGTCTCGATGTACTTCTCGATGTAGCGATCCACCGCTTCATCCGCCGACTTCTTGATGTTGGTCCACGAGAATCGAGGCTTCAGATGCCCTGGGAGATCGCGGACCTTCAGTCCCTTGATCTCGTTGTAGAACGCCCGCATCGCCATTGGAGAGTTGAAGATCGAGATTGAGATCGAGACAGGATGAGGAGGAGAGAGTTTTTTTTTTTTTTTTTGAAAAATAAACTGAAACCCTAGCGCTTGGAACTCGAACGGGGAAATTGGGGATTTTGTTGTTAGGGGCGGAGAGAGGTCAGAAGAGGTGTCTGCGGATAATCCGCATTGGTTTTGGCCTGGAAAGCCCATTAAGGTAGTCGGGCCATGCAAAGCCCAAGCATGGACAGATTTTTGAAAACTAACCCTTTTGCAAAATTAATGAGCAAAACCGACATTCCCACACACACAAAAAAAAAATCGACCATTTCCAACACAACTCAGATGAAAATGGTCGATTTTACTATCAGATTGTTTTTGAACTACACAGGACTACTACTCTCATGTAGTTAGGGCATGCTAATCCATGATTAGCATGCAAATCAAATGGACGGGACTAGTCCCGTCCATTTCATGCGAAAGGAAGACCCCAACTCTCTGCACATCCCCACTCTCCACCCTCGTCCACGGGACCCACAGATCCGCCTCCCTCCCCAACACATTCCTCCCGTCCCTAACCACCATCGTCCTCAGCTCCGCCTCCCTCGCCCTCTTGATCATGTCCCTAAAATCAAAATCGTCTGAAACCAATAGCAGCCAACCAATCCCCCTCGCCATCGAGTGCTGCATCTTGCCTCTTCAACGCCCAGTCCGCCGCATG